AAGGGGGGTTGCCCCAAAGTCTGTACAAAGGGGGCCAAATGAGATGTCAAATGAAAGCTTATGTTCTACAGATTTTATGTATGTTATTCATGTACTTGCGTGGTATCTGTATGTGGAGTTATAAATATGGACTCTGTTTTGATGCTGGAAGATTCTCTGTCTGTGACAGAGCAATGGGCCAGAAATGTTCAGTCAGTGACTATGCTAATTAGCAAGGCTCCGGGGCCAAGGCTTTCAGAGAGGCCAAAACACAGCTGAGGAATGTGTGGGAGACCTGCAAACCAGCCAATATCATGACTGCTGACTTGGGATGCAGGGTTGGTCACTGGGCCATGTGACCTGCTCCAGCTTGGAAGATACCAGGGATGGCTATAAAAATGCCAGGAGGCAGACTCCATCTTGCCTTCAATTCTGCTACTGATTCCAGATGCAGCCTTGCAAGGAACAGTGAGCCGGAAAGAATCGTTGGCCCATCCTGACATAGGATGTGCACCAGAGACTTTTAAGCTAGCAGTTTGTAACATCTCTGCTAAGAGCCTGCATCAAGAACTTGGTGATTCGATGCATGTGATGTATTCTCCTTAACAACCTTACTCTCATGCTTTTCTTTCTTTTATTCATAAACCTTTCAATTTTATATTCTAAAGGATTGGCTCAGCGTGCTCTTGCGGGTAAGATCAAAAGTGTAAATTGACTGGGGATTTGTGGCTGTTTCTTTGGGACTGGAAAGACCTGTTTGGGGTAGGTGAGATGGGGTTCTATAACCCCTTACCTGTGTGTTAGGCCCGGGGCTGATTGTGGCACAGGGAGAGCTGGGGTGTCTGAGGGGTTTTGCTTGTGAGGTTTCCTGCTGGTCGGATTGGCAGCTGAAGCGCTCGGTGTGACTGGTTTGTGACCTATATGGGAAGGGTCTCCAGTCAGGGGCTATAAGGAGCCCTGAGTTTGAGCAATTCGCCCTGAGTGGATGCCCTCAGCAGTGCCCAGATCCGGCTCAGTCCATCACAACACCTTTCAGCTGCAGCGTGGACATACCCCTAACGGAAACCGAATTGCTCTCTGTTTTCAGGGTGGTCTTTCCATTGGGAATACATTGGTGCTCTGCTCTGACACATTCTGTACCTGTTCTGTGGAAACCTAGAGGATTTTTGCTGCCAGGCTGGACAATGAAACACCATCCCCCAGCACTGAAAATACATAGGTGGGAGCAATGTAAACAACCACTTGAATTCAACCACAACAGCCCTCTCTCCCCCCCAGCGTAATGATTGACCCTCCAAAGCCAGCAGCGCGTTAATGCAGCCCTTGTTGTTTTTTGGTGGAAAACTACTTGCACATCTAGAGGTAAGAGACAGTGATCAATACAAGTGCCAACGCGGGGTGTTCTTGATGAATCATTTGTCACTGGCTTAATCCAACAAGTCAAACAGATTAATCCCCTTTCATCAATACCATGGATAACGCCCCTCCCATCCCCTGTTATTTCCAGTCTCCCACTGATCCTGTGTGTTTTTAATTCCACTCATTTAATTAGAAAGGATAATAAATTAGCTGTTTAGCCACAGCAGATTTTCCTGCTGCCAACAGGATGCGGGGTGTGCTGAAGACAGATAACACACAAAGCCACTCATAAATCAATGGATTCTATTAAAGACAGCAAGGCGCTGTATTCGCTTTCATTCTCCCTTTCCCATGTGCCAGAATCCTGCTAGCTAAGGAGCCATCTGATGATGGGTTTAACAGAGATGTTATGTGCTAGGATTCTTTTTGGTGTGTGGCTGCTCTGTCTAGTTGAAATGGCAATCATTTTAATATCGGGGGGTGCTGTTAGACATAGTGGTTGCTGCTTTAGATTTCTCTCGCACAGTCCATTTTGGCAGTGTGACCGTCAGTTACATAATTGATGTGATAGCACCTGTCTAGGAGGGTAGCTTTTTTGCTCACTGCCTGCACACTAAGCCCTGAAGAGCCCCGAAGTGCACACACACAAGGAAAATGCAGGACAATGTAGCACTTTAAAGACTAACAAGATGGTTTAAAGTGGTCTTTAAAGTGCTACATTGTCCTGCATTTTGCTTCAGCTACCCCAGACTAACACGGCTACATCTCTACCACTACACACAAGGAAAGACATTTGACAGGGATACATAAACTGTATGGAAGCTCACGCTCACTTGCTGCTTGCTTAAATATTCAGTGGCACAGGAACAGGGATTAGGGTGGCTAGTAAATGCTTCCCCTACCAGGTGATAAAGGCATTCTCTTGCTGGCCCAATGACTAAAGTGGTTCATGTCAACTGGAACAGCTTTTACAGGAATAACTGGGAGCTTCCCTGCCCCCACCTCCAAGTAGGCAATAGCCTGGTGTGTAGGATACTTACCTACAACCTAGAACTGTGCTTCTCAACCAGGGGTATGCAGAGGCTTGTGAGGAGTTACCTCAGCCCATCTAGGGCTTGTCTACACTACAGAGGAAGATCAAATAAGATATGCAACTCCAGCTACGTTAATTACGTAGAGTCGCTGTATCTTAAATCATGGCTCTGTGCCGTCCATACAGCAGGAGGCCGACAGGAGCATACGCTTCTGTTGGCTTCCCTTACTCCTCACTAAAGGGGTACCACCAGACTGGAGCTGCCCTTAGTGTTCAGTGTTTGTGTCTGCTACATTGAACGCCAGAAGATCAACCTCTGGAGAGTTGATTTTCTGCACAGAATAGATACGCCCTTAGATCTTTACAACAGGCTACATAAAAGCACTAGCAAAGTCATTGCAAACTCAAATTTCATACAGACAATGGTGGGTTTATACTGCTCTCTAGATTATACACTGAAAGATAGAGTACAAGATTTCTACTCCAGTTGATTTATTTTACAATGATATGGTAAAAATGAGAAAGCAAGCCATTTTTTGGTACTCAAGTGCTGGGACACTTGTGTGTGTTGACTAGGGTTGCCAGGTGTCCGGTTTTGAACCAGACAGTCCAGTATTTGAGCTTTCTGTTCAGGAAACAAAGTGAGAAAATAGAAATGTCCAGTATTTTCTAAATAAGATGTAAAGTTGATTGTGATGTAATGTCAAGCGTGTCCGGTATTTTTGTTGAAACCGTTTGGCAACCCTAGTACTTATGTTTGATTTTGCCAGCAAGTAGTGCTTAAGTGAGGTGAAACTTGGGGTACGCCAAACAAATCAGATCCCTGCCAGGGGCACTGTCATCTGGGAAGTTTGAGAGCCCCTGGGAGAGCCAAGTTCAAATCCCTGCTCTCTAGTACAGACTCAAATCAACAGGTCCCAGGCCATAGCCACAGAGCCTTGAGGTTCCTCTCTAGCAGTGGTTTGTGACTCAAGTCCTACATTTCCTTCATTTTTATTACAAACACCTGGAACAATTGCTTTGACCTGGCCTGAAATGTTTTTCCATTTTTCAGACCAGACAGCAGAGCAGCAAATCAGTTACTTGCCCACTCTCCTGCCATGCCAAGCAGGCATACTAGTATTCCACATGCACTCCCAACGCAGGCACGCTGTGTAGATGAAAACACTACATGCTGCACACACCCTGTGATCTCAGACGCTGTCCTAGCAGGGCGGCCATCAGAATTGCTGGGCCCTGGGGACAATGGGGGAGGAGGGGTGTTCCGCACTCCCGGAAAGGGCGTGGCCTCAGGCAGAAGGGGCGGGGCAGAGGCTGCTGGAGTTCGCCACCCCAGGCTCTGGGCAGCAGTGGCAGTAGCAGCGAGGAACTTCGGGCCCTTTTGAATTGCTGAGCTCGAGGGCAGTTGCTCGCTTTGCCTCCCACCTTCTCTGGTGGGTCTCGCTAATAACTACAGACACTGGTGTGGCCCATGGCTCAGTAGAGGCCTTATCTGCTCTGTGGTTTTCTAATGTTTCCAGTATTAGCGAAAACTTGAGCGGGTGTCGGCAGACTCCAAATTCATCCCTGAAGTCAATGGAGCGAGGCCCAGGATGACCCGGGCATGTGGTGTACATTTTTATATAGCAAATCAGTGTGCGGAATGTCACATTCTGGCGTTAGCCTCACGAAGGGCCAGGGCCAGACAGGGAGAGACAGAAAGGAGTTTTCAGCAGGGACAGCAGAGTTTCAGGTGGCAGCCCCAGCGGCAAAGGAAGCCGTTGACACCCGGATGACTTCACAGGCTCCAACAGACACACCGCAAGAGGTGAATTCCATGCCAGGTACTCTTCTTTCCACTCCCCACCCTTCCACAATGATCCCATTGTTCATTGTGGGCATGCAGGGTGCTGCTCTTTTCATCGTGAGAACAGGTTTGGCGACTTGAGCGAGGCGCTCCAGGAAGACAAGTGAAGCCCACTGGACTAACGCCTGCTGCTTTAAGCAGCTAGCGTACTAGGGGAGGCCAATATACTCAAACTCCACACCACACCGTATTTCGGCATATTGGGGTGTGGCATTACTAGGAGCATTTCCAGCAGATCTAGGGAAGTGATTATTCCCCTTTATTTGGCACTGCTCAGGCTCCATCTGAAATATTGCATCCAGTTCTGGAGCCCCCAATACAGAAAAGATGAAAGTCCAGTGAAGGGTAACAGAAATGATTAGGGGGCTGGAGCACATGACTTATGAGGAACGGCTGAAGGATTTGGGCTTATTTAGTCTGCAGAAGAGAAGAGTGAGGGGGGATTTGAGAGCAGCCTTCAGTTACCTGAGGGGACAGTCCAAAGAGGATGGAGAGAGGCTGTTCTCAGTGGTGGCAGGTGGCAGAATGAGGAGCAATGGTCTCAAGTTGCAGTGAGGGAGGTCTAAATTGGAGATTAGGAAAAACGATGTCACTAGGAGGGTGATGAAGCACTGGAACAGGTTACCTAGGGAGGTGGTGGAATCTCCATCCCTAGAGGTTTTTAAGTCCCGGCTTGACAACCCTAGGATTCTATGAATGCAAGAGCTTTGGGCCTTCTATGTCTAGAGAGGAGCAGGGAACATGGACTCGGCAAGCTGGTCACTGCAAAGATCCACCCCTTACCTGTAGTCTGATTCTCCAGGCTGGTGTCCTCCAGACATTTCTCCCGCTCGTATTCGATCTCCAGCACGATGGAGCACTCAGGCGACATGCTTGATGCCTACAGAAATGGCAGAGAGAGAGAGAAACAAAGAGAGTTTGACCATCGACAGCACATTTACCGCTAAAGACATTCCTCAGAGCCAAGTCAAAAAGATCAGATTGAACCAAGTGATGAGAGTTTAGGAGAAATAGCCAAGTAACCGACGGGCCGTCAGAGGAATATGGCTCAGAACAGGCAGCTTTGCGCCTGTCTGCCTTAAACAGGGCTAGCTGTCTGTTTAGGCGTCATTGATTGACAGCCCTCACGTTTCCCTGTTCACGGACTCTGGGCAGCATCTATACAGCAGCTAACACCTGCAACTAGTCAGAATCCTCTGACTTGGCCTGTTAGGTTATAAAATTGCTGTGTACAGGCTTGGGCTACACACCGAGCACTAGGCCTCACAGGATCCCAGAGCCCTCTGCCCAAATGGCCGCATAGCAATTTTTAGCCCCACAAGTCCAAGCTCCGCTTGCCTGAGCCAGCTAACTTCCAACCAGCCCGCAGGTGTTTTCTTCCAGGGCAGGTGCAGCCTCAGAGCCCTACTCTACCCAACAATGGCGCTGAGGAGATTCCACTGGGAAATCACAAATTCAAGCTGAGCCTGTGCCTGCCACAACACTTTCTCCACGTTTACATAGCTCACTTAGGGAGCGGCAATTCGCTGCCTCAGCTCCGCAGCTCAAGCATCCAAAAAAAAATGGAAATTCCCACTATTAAGATGGTTCCAGCAGTTTTCACTTGGCCACTCTGAAAACCGTGATTTATATTTTAGGAGAGTCTAAAGGATCGGGTAAAGAATCACAGACCCTGAGCCCTGTATATTTCATAAGGTACAATAACAGCTAAATATATTGCATGAAGGCTTATATTTAACAAAGGAATAAGGAATTGGATACACACACAGACACACACACGCACTCAGAGGTACATTGACATTACCAGCACTTTCTCAATTTAGGTGAAATCCCTAACTTTATTTAATTCTTCCTATTGCTGTAGCACCTACAGGTCTCAAAGGAGTCTCATTGTGCTAGGTGTTGTACCAACACATAAGAAAAGCCAGACTCGTGTACAGTCTACAATGGCAGAAAACAAATGGGTACAACACACGAGCCGGATAAAGCCCAGTGTGACAAAAAGAGGACGACCATAAACATGTGATGAACAGCAGCCCCTGCCCACTAGCTGCCTAGCTATTCCCAAGTGTTTTGTAGGCAAAAGGACAAAGGGGAGGATTGAAGGAAGGAAAAGCTGGGGAACGGCTGACCTCACAATTTGAATAACCCAATAATACTCTTTAAAAATATATAGTTTTATTTGTTTAAAAACAAAGATAAAATCTGGAGGACAAATTGTCTTATGATGTTTACTTGCTCCACTGGCAAAATCTGACATTTGTTTCCCCATATTACTGATTCCAATTGCAGTTTATAAATTGAGAGAGTTAGTGAATTCTTTGAACTAACATGTGGTCCTGGGAAATGCAGTTTGGAGTAAATTAATTAACACATCACTTGTCAGGCTAACTCCCCTTTTCTCCTCATTCTCTCATCCTCCCTCACCTGAACTGCTTTGTAATGTCCCCTCTTGGGCCTGGTTTACACTTTAGAGTTAGGCCAAGGTATGGTGGCTTCTGTTGATCTACATAAGAATGGCCATACTGGGTCAGACCAAAGGTCCATCTAGCCCACTGTCCTGTCTGCCCACAGTGGCCAATGCCAAGTGCTCCAGAAGGAGTAACTAGAACAAGAAATCATCAAGTGATCCCTCCCATGTCACTCATTTCCAGCCTCTGGCAAACAGAGGCAAAGGATACCATTCCGACCCATCCTGGCCAATAAGTATTGATGGACCTAACCTCCATGAATTTATGTCATTCTTTTTTGAACTCTGTCCTGGTTTTCACAACATCCTCTGGCAAGGAGTTCCACAGGTTGACTGTGTGCTGCATGAAGAAATACTTCTTTTTGTTTGTTTTAAACTTGCTACCTATTCATTTAATTTGGTGACCCCTAGTTCTTATGTTATGGCTACAAGTAAATAACTTTTCATTATTTACTTTCTCCAAACTTGTCATGATTTTATAGACCTCTATAATATCCCCCCTTAATCTCCTCTCTTCGAAGATGAAAAGTCCTTTTAATCTCTTTTCATATGGCAGCCGTTCTAAATGCATTTACGGATCCAAGTCTGAAAATGTCCACCCTAACGTTTGGCTCACACTGAGGTAACTCACCTACTCCACCGACTTACTAACTCCACCGCCACGAGAGCCCTAGCACTTAAATCAATGTAGTTAGGCAAATGTGGTGTCAGTGTAGAAACTGCGCTGTTTAACACACTGTTGTGGGCTTTCAGAAGGTGTCCCACAAGGCTGCAGACTGGCAGTTGAATCCGTTAAATCCTCATGAGGATGCACATTGTTGATACAAGGAGCGTAGAGTGAATGTGTAAACCCAATTCAATTACTGCAGTGACTATGCATTGATGCAATTTAGGCTGACTTAGTTTTGTAGCATAGACTTGTCCATGGTCTACAATTCAAAATTAGATGGATCTAGCTACATCAGTCAGGGATGTAAAACAGTTTACCCCCAGAGCACCATAGTTAGGTTGACCTAATCTCTGGTGTAGATGCGGCTAAATCCATCAACCTAGCTACAACTTCTTGGAGACGTGGATTGACTTATAGTAATGGAAAACCCCCTTCTATCAACATAAGAAGCATTTGTAGTACAGCACTACAGTGTCACTGCTGCAACTCTGTAGCTATGTCAAAATAGTGGCTATCGTACAGATATACCACTATTTGGATAATTACTTTGGGGCAAGGAATGGCACTTGAGTCAAATTATTGAAACACTGTGTACATTTATGATGCTACTGCAGTGATTTTGTATCAACCCTAGCCTTTGCTGCCTGCAAGCTAGAGATCACAGTATTTAATTGTTGTGTTTTCTTTTTTCTTTATTGAAAACTGATATGCCTACCTAAATTTGTGGCTTGCATATTTACTTAGCATGCCATGACATTTCCCGTTGAATGAATATTTCATTTCCACTTGAAGAATTTAAGTCAATATGTACTTAGTATTCTAAAGACTATTGACAGAATTTGGCAAATATGTAAAAAGGGAGTTTTAAAGCAGGCTCTCTCTCAATCCTGTTCCGAGTGGCCAGCTGTAACTTAAAAATATGATACAGAAGAGGCATATCTGGTGGTTTATGCACAGGCGTGAGAATCAGGTACTTTTTCCAGCTCTACCAGTGAGTTGCTGTATGATTTTAAACATGTCACTTAGACCCAGATTTTTAAAAGTATATAGATATTGCTGCAGTGTGTGGCAAAACCTAATTAGGAGCCTGAATTTCATTTCCAAAAGGGATTTAGGCATTTAGGGGATTAAATCCCCTTGATTTAAGATCTCAAGTGCTTAATTTCCATTTAAAAATGACATTTAGACTCTGCAAATTCCTAAATACCATTAAAAATTGGGCTTTAGAGACCAATCCAGTACTCCACAAGGTCAGGATAACTATTCCTGTTACATAGATATTCAGGCCTGCCTGTAAAAGCCTATACTTTAAGAATTTAGGTGTGTTCCTACCATTTTACTAGTTACAGGGGTATAAGAACGAAGGATCAATATCAGAGTCTATCTGTCTGAGGTCTTGTTCTTTAGCTAGGAAGATACATTCCAAGCCAGTCACTGATACAAAGGTTGATAAGCTTTCGGTCTTCTCTCCCCATCTCTCTATTGTTTATTTAATTATCCCCTGTGTAATTAATTTTGCTGGGTGTTTACCAATTAAGGTGGTGGGCCATAATTGGTGAGATAATCATGAGACATTGTGTTAGGATTGGTTAGTTAAATGTCAGTAGAATGATTGGTTAAGATATACCTGAAAATATTACTATAGACATTGGGGACAAACAGAAAGAGGGTGGGAAAAACCAGGGAGAGAACCAAAGGGAAAAAGGAAAGGAAACTGGACTTATGCTTGCTGGAAGCTCACCGCCAATAAACATTGGCTTGTGTGTGTGTCTGGACTTTGGGAATTGCTGTTCTCTGTTCCCGTGAGAAGGACTAGGGAAGAGAGAGGGTGAAGGGATGTGATCTCTACCAGTTCCCATTGTCTTCCAGCCTTTTCCTAGCTCTCCACTCAGTCTTCCCTGTGGGTATGTCTACACTACCACCCTAGTTTGAACTAGGGTGGTTAATGTAGGCAACCGAAGTTGCAAATGAAGCCACTTGAATTTGAATTTCCCGGGCTTCATTTGCATCTTGCTGGGCGCCACCATTTTTAAATCCCCGCTAGTTCGGACTCCGTGCCCGCGGCTATACGTGGCACGGAGTAGGTAGTTCAGATTAGGCTTTCTATTCCAAACTACCGTTACTCCTTGTGGAACAAGGTGTACCAGTAGTTCGGAATAGGAAGTCTAATCCAAACTACCTACTCCATGCCACGTGTAGCTGCGGGCACGGAGTCTGAACTAGCGGGGATTTAAAAATGGTGGCGCCCAGCAAGATGCAAATGAAGCCCGGGAAATTCAAATTCAAGTGGCTTCATTTGCAACTTCGGTTGCCTACATTAACCACCCTAGTTCAAACTAGGGTGGTAGTGTAGACATACCCTAGCTGTATAGCACCAGTCATACTACGGACCTTGTAAGGTCAGGCTCGGTGGTTAGTCAAACGAAAGGCTACAGCAAGGAGCAGATGGCGCAGGGGATGAGTCAATGGCTGTTCAGCCTTTCGTCTCACACATCCGCGGAGCACTATGTTAAGCGAGCCGGGAGCGAAAGCTGCTGCCAAGGAAGGGATGCTCAGTGGCAAATAGCACTGGGTTCTCGCCCACCATTTCCCAACGGACTGGACTTCCCATCTCCAGTGTCACTGCTCCAACAATTGGCAGGCAGACCAAGCTTTGAGAGGAGCTGAAGGCAGGCCCTCCAGGAGAGGTTTGAAACCCGTGGACGGGGCGACGGGGTGGGACACTGATGGCTTCCAGAAGCACTCCCATGCGGTGGATATACAGT